GTTAACTTTTCAACATAAACTCCATTTTTCAGTGGTGTATTTCGTTCCTTCGTGATTCTGTCTCTCTGGTTTTGCCAAACTCGTCACACTTGCTGTGGTGCGGCACCCGTTACAAACAAATAAGCCTTCCATTCGACCTCGTTGAAGAAAGTTTTTTTTCGCAGTCGAATTAGGCACTCAAGGGTTTCTAAAAGGGTTTCTAAACCTGAAGAAGAGCCGGACCCGTCGCCTACCCCAACAGGGTTTTAAAGAAGACAACCTTCTCACCCTCATTCTGACCTTTTCTGATATCTGCTGTGACATTATCCTTTAGGGGAACATCTCCAACCCTCCACATGGCCCACCTAAATTCTTGGTGATGGGATTTAGGCTCTCGGTAGGACTGACTGAACAGCCTAGAAATTACCGCCGAGCAAGAGACAGGGGGGGGTGGTCACCCCGAAACTTGCCCATGCTGCGGTTCAACCCGAGCACAATACATTCGGCCCAGTCTCAGCCACTATAGAAGACGTTACGGTAGATGCTACGTTTTATAGTGCAAAGCGAAACAGACACTGAAGTCCTTTGCTAACCTTCGACGATGACCTTGCAAGTGGCTGTCTGCATTCCGAAGCTGTTCGCAACAGTACACGAAAATATGGCGTTATCTTCAAGCGTTGTGCATTCCAATCGGAGAATTGTGACCCCGTCTTCAGTAATGATGTTATAATTCCTGATGAAATATATAGATAATTAATAGGGAACAATTCAATGGCTTCTAATCAATTCAATGGCTTCTAAGTTTTTCGTGCAAATGAGTTCTTGAAGTAAGTGTAAAGCAACAAATCTCAGCTTGATTTTTTTTCATAATGAAATACAGTCTCCACGTCTCATCCAGTAGGGGGGAGGCACATGGTGCAAAAATTCACATCGCCCAAAGTAATCCAATTTTTCGCGAGGGAAGGAAGCTTCCGAGATGGGTGTAGAAGCGAAAGCGACGAGTTTTACCTCCCCTGCGAGAATTGGAATCTCCGTAATCGGCACGACTGTCGCACCACGTGCCCCCTCTTGCTGCATGAGAACCCAGTTTCCCTATCTCATTAGAAGCTGAGGAATAATCTCCATACTTGTTCATATCCACGAGATTGCCATCCTTCTCCCATGTAACAGCTGGCAGCGGTTGTCCACTGAATGTGCACTTCAACTGTATGTTCTCGTTGACCTGAAAAGATCTCAGAACTTGCATTAGAAATCCAGGCCACAAGCTCCCCTCAACTAAACGGCATATTGTTGAAGGTGTTCATCTCGTTTTCTTCCCCTCCCCTCACCCCTCTCTCCTAAACTCACAGTATCCCTAGGATGGTCTACTTGAATGATTACCAGCGGTATTATGCTGAAGTTCTCTTAGGTTGGTTTACTAAAGGTAGTAGGTTGGGTCAGTGAACTATCGCACTGACACTAGTTGTTTTCGCTATTTTGTTCCGGATTTTGAGAAATCGCGTAC